AAGACAAATAGCCCAAAGGAATACAAGGGCAAAAGACTTGAATAGAATAAACAAGTTGTCAAGAAGAAACTCAAGCCTTTCCGGTGTGGCTCCATGGTTGTGCATCAACCCAGAAGCCAAGAAGTTGCTGTTTCGATTCCTGGTCAGGGTACCTGATGGGGGCGGGAGCTGGTCCCCAGTGGGGTTGCACAAGAGACAGCCAATCGATGATGTTTCTCTCTCATCAAAGTTTCTAATTCTCGATCCCTCTCCCTTTTTCTCTCTCTCAAAAAAATCAATAAAAGCATTAAAAAAAAAGAAAAAGAAGAATCTTAAATGGTCAACAAACATGTAAGAATCTTAGCTGGTTAATAATTAGAGAAATGCAATTTTAAATTGCACTGAGATCATTACACATTGACTAAAGCTAAAAAAATCTAATAATTCCAGGATATACATTGTACATGGAAGTGCAAATTGGTACAGCCACCTTGGAAAACAGTATCACCATGTAGAAAAGCAAGCAAAACTAAAAAAATTTTATCTAGGGTCAAATACACACATGGAGGAGGACAAATTAAAAAAAAAGATGGGGGTGGTGGGGGAAGAGAACTATTACAACGGTCAGGGCAGTGTCTACCGCTATGGGAAAGAGAAAAAATGTCATCAGGAAAATTGTGGGAGGGGCTAAAACTACTAGTAAGGTTCTGCTTAGTGAGTGAATGTTGTTGTTAAACTGCTCCAACTATATACACGTTTTTACAGGTTGGTAGGTATATGCATGCAGGTGCACGCACACACACACACACACTCACACAGTAGTTTTCAAAAAAGTTCTGTCCACAAAAAGAGCCTGACCCCAAACCCCAGCCCCAACACACTGGGGTCCAGAGAACCTAAGCATCTTCCTGGATATTTGGCTCCTTACCTGGGAGAGCACCTTCCAGGACAGATCCCTCAAATGAACTCAGGCCTGTTGTCATTCTGATCTGTCACTGTGATCACAATCTCCATCGGATCCTCAATTGCATTCCCGTTGGAAGACACAGCGTGAGAGAGGAGCTGCAAGAGCCAAGGGAGGGTTACTTCAGCCCCAAGGAGAAAAGAAGTGAGAGAAGTGGCCCGACCAGAGAGCGGGCTCCACGTGGTGTCCCCTCCTTCCCACTCTCTGAGACCCGAGTGCATGGACACCTGCAGCAGAGCCCTTTTCTCACACACATGCCGCTGCTCCAATGAGGTCAGCACACTGGCTGAGAGCATGACATGTGAAGACCTGAGGGCTGGAGAGCACACCCACCAGGTCAGAGCTCCCATTCCCTGCACGAAGGCTAGGCAGTCAGGCCCAGCAGATAAAGGGGGAAGCCTAACACTCTGACTTCTTCCAAGCAGGGTAAAATTAGCCCTGGCCACTCCAGTCTAGTGTGTCCTCCTGATTTTTCTGCATTTGGCATCAATACATTACTTCCCAGTTGCCCTCAGCTCACTCTGCTACCAGGCCCAGATGGTTTTTGCTCTCCGACATCATCACTGGCCTCTACTTTTAGCTCCAAGAATAGGCTGATATCTGGGGTCTAAAGTTATGCGTGATGCATAAGGACTTTCCCTGCTTTATTCCTAACAACAAAAGTAATTTAACAACCCCCATATCCAGGTTCTCCCATCATTTCTCTTTATCAATAGGTCTCAAAGTGGCAAATTAAGCCCCTCATACATCCAGAGTCTCGAATCTAGGGATCCTAATCGGTTAACCAAACAATTTGGGAAAGATGAGACCCCATCATTAATAAGCGCCTAAGTGATACTCACTGTGTACTTGGCAATTGCTTCTCTATCCAGAGGCTGGGTCACCTTGAGCCATCCTGTCTCCCTTTCAATAATAAACACATGGATGGGGGGCGCGTCAGCTCCTTGGCCAGAGATGCTGTAGAAAACCTTTGTCTCTTTGTCTCTACTAGACTTGATCTGGAGACAAAACAGACACAGAATTAGCACGGGAGGATCCTTACATTCAGTCTTTCTCCTTCCTCTCCTTGGTGCTTCTCTGCCAAATTCCTCCCAAAGAAATAGAGAACACCCTTCTCTACCTGGACCAGTTTCTTAGGAAACGGGCCTTTCTCATTTTCTGGGCAGCTGATGGGAGGGATAACCCAGTCTCTCTTCTGTCTTCTGAGACCATGGTGGGAGTCAGGAAATGTGAGCACTTCCATCCGGGCTTCAGGGAGAGAATCCTAAAAGGAAAAGAGATGAACAACACAATGAGATAATTCATGAGAAATAATGCCGACCAAACAGTCCAAACTAACCAGTCAACATCTCCATCCTTGTGGCGGTAACAAGTGATTTGAAGTTAATAACAAAATTAACAGCCAAAACAAAACCCAATGAACCCCTTTGCCATAGTAACATGTTCTCTTTTGATCTTTCTTAGTGTTCAGAGTTTAATCATTATACATGCACGATGATAGGTTTGTGGGTTCGATGTTATTTTGTAAGTATATTAAGTCTACAATGTCACACCTGTCAAGTTTTTTTAAATTTTATTTTTCCATTCCAGCTTACATTCAATATTATTTTGTACTAGAGGCCCCATGCACAAAATTCGTGCAAGAGTAGGCCTTCCTTCCCCTGGTTGCTGGCACCGGTTTCCCTCTGGCACCCAGGACCCGGGCTTCCCTCGCAGCCCCAGCTTTGTTGGGAAGGTCGTTTGGAAGGACGTCTGGCCTAATTAGCCTATATACATATCACATTTCACACCTGTCATTTTTAATAGAACAGTATACTCCAATGATTTTGTATCAGAGCTTTTTCAACAACTGGATATCCTGGTGTTTTAAGTTCTTTTCCTTTATATTTTTCCTAGGGTTATAGGTCCCCAAGTAGAGTTATCAGCCAAATTCAGTAAGTTTTGGGAACTGGTACTTAGAACTACTTTCTGATCAATACAAATCCCTTACTCATGTGGTGTCATTATATCTCCAAGGTGTCCATTTGTTCTAACAGAAGCTACTGGGATGAAAACCAAATCCATCCTTTGAGACTTGTATTGAACAGCTTTCATGTGTGATAATGATAACATATGCACACACAGGGAAATAAGATAGTGGATGATGGAAGGAAATAAAAAAATCTTCCAAAGTGTCTAAGTGTTTTAAAGTGATCAGTGGTAACACGGTCAAAGTTCCAGAGGACAATCCCATCCCCCACCATCTATACAGTTACTGGTCACTGTCTGCCCAGTGTGATTCAAGCCCTAGTTTCTGTGTTGTTGTTTTTAAATTTCACTCAAAATGCACAAGACAAACATGAGATGTGACCAAATATCACCTCAAAATCCTTCCCAATTCTGCATACTTCACACACACACACACACACACACACACACACTCACTCTCACACACACCATCTGCACCCTCACATTCACCTCCTAGAGAAGCAGTCCTGCCTGGGTCAAGGGCAGGCTCTGGAGCCAGCTGCCTGGCTTTGAATGCTCACTATGGCACTTCCATCTCCTGGGCAGATTATTTAACGTCTCTGTCCCCCAGTTTCCTAATGGCTAAGAATGGGGATAATATTGGGACCTCCACCTCATAAGGTTCCTGGGAGGAAGAAATGAGATATTAATGCCTGAACATAGTAAGGGCTCCATAAATGACAATGATGGAGAGGATGGTTGAACTGGTTGGAAAACTCTGAGTTATGGTTTTAATGAAGTCAAGTTTTGGACTTGACCCCAGCACAGAACCAAGCACAAACCCGACTGTCAATACTGTAACCTAAGCATAAACACCACCATCTTGCACCGCCATGGTGGCGAACCGGCACTGAGGAGTGCACACAGAGTCACTTGCTCCACTGAAGAGGAAGTCAAAGGCCATGCCTTGCTGACATCAGGATTACAGAATATTTTCAGAGAATGAGAGTAAATGACAATGAGCACTGTGCTGGCAAAACATAACATTAACGTCTTCATGTGTAAAATTAAAGGGAACCGTGCCTAAGCATACTGGACCTGGAATTCGTCCCTCAGAAAAAAGGATACACTAGTTTGAGAAAACCCACCAAGAAAGAGAAAGATCTGCAAAATCACATCTATTCTTATTTCCCCCCACCAGCTTTATTTAGGTATAGTTGACAAATTTATGTATATTTAGTGTGTACACGGTGATGTTTTAATCCTATATAATAAAAGAGTAATATGCCAGTCAACCAAACGGCAAATGACCGGTCACTATGACGTGCACTGACCACCAGGGGGCAGACACTTAATATAGGAGCTGCCCCCTGGTGGTCAGTGCCCTCCCACAGGGGGTGCGCCGCTCAGCCAGAGCTGGGCTCACAGCTGGTGAGCACAGTGGTGGTGAGAGGAGCCTCTCCCGCCTCCCTGGCGGGCCTAAGCCGTCAGTTGGACATTCCCCAAGGCCTCCCAGACTTCAAGAGGGCGCAGGCTGGGCTGAGGGACATGCCCCCCCACCTCCCAGTGCAGGAATTTCGTGCACCGGGCCTTCTAGTATAAATATAAGATCTATTCTTTTTTAAAAATCTGTTCTTACATGAATTAAGACAGAGGTTAAAAAAAAGAGAAAGAGGTAAGATTGTCACCCCTTCTCCTAGTGCAGGACCACCTGGCTCCATGAGAGTCCCTTGAACTAGAGACAAAGCAAAGTGAACTCCAAACCAGCTATGGCAGAGTTGCCACCTACCACTCAATAGCCTCCTTTCATTTCTTATTCAAAAACAAGCAAACAAACAAAAAACCTCTCTCTCTCTCTCTCTCTCTC